TGCTAGTTCCTGCCAGACCACCCAGGTCACTATACCAGTGTGACTAGGTCTCAAACAGCTGTAGTCGGCGGTATACATTCGTCTGTGGTCTCATAGTGCGGACATATCTATCACATCGTCTTAGTCTATTCTCGTTCCTCACTATGTCTACCTATTCAAAAGACGTGATTGGTCCTCCCCCTACCACTTTTTTACATTGGCTCATGCACATAGAGAGCCTATAGCTAACCAAACCCATGACTTACTCAAAGTCTCCGACCGGTTCTTAGTACATTGGTCCAGTTTCCAGTCAGTGTCGTACTAGTCCCTACTGGATCACTACAGATGAACGACTGAGTGAGCTACCTGATGACGGTACTCAAGTCCCTAGTGGACACCGAGTGGAGTCTACAGATGACAGCTACAGTCCATACGTGGACACTGAGTGGAGCTACAGATGACGGCTAAAGTCCCTACTAAACAGTCTTCACCTGAGCCCTCGCAAAATTGTCAGTACTTTTTCCTATTGCAAAAATGCCTACTTTCCTCACACTTCTACTTTCTGAAGGTAGCTTCACTACCCTGAAACCTTAACAGTCAACCATTCCCTGTACAAAAGTACGTATGTGGTGCATGTAAAACAGTTTACACAACCACTTCTGGGCTCAGGTGAACCTGAATGGAGAGCAACATATGGAAGTAGTTCAAAGGGTCAATTAACTACGTTTAGTCAAAGGAGCAGATATGGACCACACAAGATAAAAATATTTGTTACAAGATCTAGCCTTGACGTAAGCACTCCTGAAACCTACTGTTCCTGAACACACACACCAAGTACATACCCAGGTCAGCGACACTGCATCAATGAGGTAAAGTGGATATGTGCATAAAACAGTCTGTGCAGTTGCAAGACCACAGGTACTGTAATAAAGAGCTCTGGTAGAATGCTACCCTGGAGCAACTAGTACACAGCTCTTGTAACATGATACTCGGTAAGCAAATATGTGCATAATAAAACTCCACATATGAGCAGTGGGAAGTTTTGAAATACACACATACATTCTGCTGTTATGCCTGCACTCATTGCAGTGATACCTTCTGTTGAATCACAAGTATGATAAACGATTGCAGGGATCCTAGCAATATTGAAAGAGATGAACACACAAAGTACTAGAACAAATACACACATTTACTCTGACATTTCACAGATGCAAACACACATACGCTCGATATCCACCAGTCTCCTTCACTCTATTCACTGTCTCAATCGCCTGGAGGTGTAAGAGGATAGAGATCAATATATGGAGCACAAGGACACAGGGTGTGCCCTGTACAAGACACACCATATCACCCTGGCATGTGTTTGCCTCAACCAGGTTTTGATTCCTCTACTAAGTCTTAATCCATATCAAGCTCTGGGGGCATCGGAAATCACTGCTCCCACATAAACCACTGTGGAACAGTTGTAGAACTGAAGCAGACTTTACTATACACTTCATCATCAGATATTACGCTACACGTCTGTATGTGTGCTGCAAGACTGAGATAATCTTCCCAAGCATCAGAATCAGAAAGTGACAATAGGCTTTTTGTTTAAGAAGCCAGAATATGCAGTCCCACGTATTACAGGTCAGAACCGGAGTGGGCGGGGCATCATAATGTAGGGAAGTCTACTGAAACATACACAGCCAACCCTACAGAATGCTACCTACGTAAATCCTCTAATAATGCAGTGTCACATGAAAAGTTAAACACAGAGACTGTGCCTTGCAAGTTGTCTGAAGGTCACAGGGTTTTCTGTACAGTTGTGAAGAGTAGGCTAGGGCACATAGAGCAATGGAGAGGAACATACATATTGACTGTAAATCTTTAAGAGTCATGCATGAAAGTCAAGGTTAACGCAGGAGAGCATCACTTAGCTGGTAGTGTGGGAGGAAAAGAGGACAAATAGAGTCTTTGCTCGCGTAAGAGACTAGAAAAAGTTCACAAGACATTTTTCCTCGGCTAATGTATACCTGCCTTGATTCATTAGTCTTGGGTTTAAACGTGGAGTTCGCGTATAAAAGGCGAAACAGCGGTGCGAGCAACTCTCATTTTTTTGACATTTTTGGAGGTTGCCCGACAAAGATGCACTAACAAAATGGCGACCCACACAAAGAACCGGCAACATGGCAACTGCACGTTTAAAGGTTCTCTGTGGTTGTCTATATCTTTGTATGTGGAGTGATTCAATGACTCTATAACGTCTTCTCCTCGAAACAGAGCTGGCTAATGTAAACCCACTGCTTGCTAGGTATAGTTAAAGTATTTGCATGTGCATGTGACTGGCTGTGTTTTATGTGCTTCAATACATGTGCTGCAATGGGGCCAGAAAAAGTGCCATGGGCCTTAGAGTATGCTTTACACACAACCATCTCAGTCATAACCATACGGAGCAGATACATGTATCATGGGGTTCACAGAGTGTTTGCACAACTCAGGCATGCCTGTACTCAATGTGACATCAAAAACAGTCAAGTAATGTTACCTCATCACAATCTCTCATCTTCTTCTCCAGTTCTCTCCTCTTCTCCTCATCTTTACACTTCTTCAACTCTGACTCCAGTTCCTTCTTCTCCTCCTCCTTCTCCTCCATCTCCTCCTTCTCCTTCTCCTACAGTCATGACAACGATCACTTACACTGGAGTACAATGGTTTGGCAAATGGTTTTGCCTTGATGATGTTGCAAAGCCACGCCACACGTTCGCTCAGTTTCAACAGAGTCTAGTAGCACCAGTGAGTAGTGCATGGAGCAATATGATACTCATCTGACAAGTAACTTTGTGCCCTCCACAGTGTTTTTAAATCAGTCGAGGTAAGCCATTGCTCATTACCTATGCTAATGGCTCTTTTGCTTGTGTTTCATGCAAAACTCTCGAATGCAGTGGTTTCATGGGAAACAGTAATATTCACGTCTACGTAGCACTGACAGTGTTGGTATCACTTATTGGCAGCCTTGTAGCCTGTAATAATGGTAAACAGACAAACCAAAGACAGACTCACAAACCAAGTATTGTAAACCTCGCTACACATGTGTGTTGAGAACAATCCTAGCAGAGTGCCACAGACTAAAGGGTGAACAGTCATTCTCAACACAATGGGCTACAGTTCCAACACAAGTCCTGACAGAGCGTGTACCATTACCAGAACATTAATCAGTACTGGTGAGGCAGAGGACAGGCAGCAGGTGAATGTGATGCAGACACAGTGAGGATGTGGCCATTGTAAGAGGTGTCAGAAGACACGGACATAAAGATGCACATATCACTAGGTCCACACACAATGCTGGTCTCGTTTAAATGTCAAATCGCAAACTCTGTTCAGAAACAAACGCCCGGGCATTAAAGTTTAGAATGAATGAGGCATAAACGGTTTTTATCCATCGTTGCAATTTGAAATCAAACTGTTGTAAACACTACTCAGACAATTAAGAACACATGAGGGATAGACAATTTATGTACAGAAAGTATCTGTGTTAATGAAGAGAACTAAAGTGCAAACCCTCAGTGAACTGCACATGCGCGATACCGCTAATTGATGGACTGGGCTAAATAAGTATATGCGTTTACGTTTACTTGCTGTCTCCTCCTGCTAGGAGAGTCTAACATGGGCTAGTGATAGTATATAGTAGATAGCATGAGGGAGTCGATACACGCCCTTCTTGTGCCTTCAAGATGATGTAATAATACGCATGCGCACCGCTAATTGATGGGCTGGACCACGCAAAGCGGTCCACGACCGTGCCAGTTTCTCGCTCTCAATTGTGGTCATTTCAGCAAAATCACCATTTTAGTTTTCTAGCCCCTGTACCACTGAAGCTGTTGGTGTCGCTCATAGCCTCATAGCCTGTAGTGCGAGAATAGTCGTAGACAGACCAAGTACTGTAACTCTCACTGTGCATGCGTGCCTAGGGTTAATGAGGTAACATACATACCTGGAGTTCCACTTCTCTCAGAATTTCATGTATGGAAAAGCAGTAAAGATTATCTTAACAGAAAATTGTGAACCCAGCATCTACTCTGTAGAACTGGGACCCAGTACAATATAGTAATGGACTTATTAACAACATACATGATTGTGGACGAAGTGTGTACCTTGATACAAACCATTTTGGCGAGCAAGTGTGAGTAGTTCAATTTTCGCACATATATGCAAAACTGAGTCATGAAATTGATTCTACAGACACCATAAGCAGGAAGACACCCACAACATTTCTCACTCCCCATCACACAAAAGACACTCCTCCCTCCTTCCCTTCATCTCACTCCTAATTGAACCCATGAGTTCCTCATCTGTCCGGGGTCACTACCACCATGCAGATATCTCCGTACAGTGAAAGATTTAACCCACTTTCACCCCTCTCTGATCAATACTATCCAATAAAAATAAAGTGAAAAAATTCTACCTCGTTCGAATTTCATTCAAGAACTCAGTCTTATTCAACAATTCCCCCCTTCGGATGTACTCTAACCTTCCTCTGTCTACCTCAACAACGCTGTAAGTCCCACTCCTGGCTAAAGAGTATCTTTGGATACTTATCACCTGACATTACCTTATACCACCACTAGCCTTATCTCTCTGACCTTGCGATGTATCTAGCTCCATATCTCCCAAAGCACCCAAGAATCCGCTTCGCCCAACCCAACATGACAGACTCCAACCAATGCAGCTGACTGTGTCTTGTGCCTTCCTATACTTCACACTCATACTCCAAGAGTCTTAAACATACTACACAAGTGACCATTATAATGACAGATTGGAAAATAGAGCCCATTACATCTCCTCACATGTCCTGCTAAAGTCCAATACAGAGGTCAAAAACCCACTGGTGACTGCATGCTAAGAGCTGCTGCTCCACTACTGTAACAGTACAGTGATGTACTGTAAACTCTTGCTCTATTGCTATCACCAGGTCAGCTAGCAACAAATGCTAATTCTTAGAAAACCTCTTCTAAGATCTCTCTGCGGCTCTACCAACAAACTCACTCAGGTATATGCAAGTATTATAAACACAAGAATAACGCCTCGAATGACGCTTTACCGATTCGTAAGGGTTACGACGGCGAGGAAGAGGAACTGGCTTTTTTCGAGGTGGTGGCCCTCCTAAGTCTGTGAGCTAAGACCTCTTCGCCCTCTCTTCTAGAGAGAGGGATCTCGTGACGAGACCAACGGTTCGCTGACGGAGACAGTGGAGGAGAACTGGAGGGAGGGTCCGCCTTTTCAGCCATCTTTGATAAACAAACGTAGTGCGCATGCGTGAGAATGAGCCGATCGAAGGTAGGAGGTCATCCATCCGGCTCGCTCCCGTATAAATTCGCCACTCAACTCTACTGAAGTAAATCTGTCCATAAAGTAAGGCTGAAAAATCAATTATGAGTGGAAGTTCAGCAGTCAGGAGACTGCTGCCTGTCTCAAGGAAGCAGTTGAGGAGATCGTGGAAGTACATCAACGCTGCAGTCTCACCAGTCCACTTCAACAATCCGTCACCTCTCCTGGTTAGACCATAGATCCTGATATAGTCTTACTCAGTGATGCCACACCATTTGGTCGTGCACATCAGTTAGTGGAAGTGTTGTTTGCAGGAGGAGCAGAGTAGAGGACTGAGAGTGAGGTCATTGCACTGCAGTGCTCCAGGTCCAGCCACTACTGACGCTCAGGGACGACCCAGGAGTGATCAGGACGACCTCCCAATGTCTCTGGACCACTTCCGCAAACCTAGTCAACCTTCTGCCGGGACCACTGGCCATCAGGAGGATGGATGGTGTGATGGATACACTCTGCCTCACCCTGTGTGGAGTGAGGAGGAATTGAACTCTGTCCAGATCACTCACACTCCTCTAGAGAAACCTGTTGACACGGTACACAGTCACTCAACTATTTCTAACTACTCCAAACACTGACCTTACTATTATCCAGATACATTGGTAGGATTCACAGACCGATTTTCATTGCTATTTGAATAATTTTTCACTGATATTATTCATATTTCATTAACCTGCATAATTGAGGGTGGTAGACAATATTGGTTTCACACACAATGTTCTAGACATACATACAGGTGAGATGTACACATACATAGTACACGCTATGTACTCCATGTACCATACCTACACACACACAGACAGACAGACACACACATCATTTGCAATACACGGAGGGTGATTCATGTACAGTATATACTGTAGTAGATAAGGTACAGAACAATTCTCAAATAATGCACACTATGACGTTGTGTAGCTCCAGGAGCCACCGCACGTCATGGTTTATAGTGATCCCTGGGCACTGGGTATCGCAGTTTTTTGTGGTCAGTTCCCCTAATGTTGAGCCTCTGCTGTGTGTAGAAGAAGATGCACTCGGGCACAGTCTGAAAGTGGCTGCTGAACTGGCCCAACACGTAGCCACTCCTCTCGTAGACTATTCTCAGGTGAATGAACCCACTGGAGCGATCTCTGTGGAGGAGGGAGTGAGAGAAGGGAGAGGTATGATAAGAGCAAGGGTTGAAATTTGTATATACCTCTTTACTGATAAACTCTGTGTCTAAGATCTCTAAGACATATCATATCCCTCAGTTTTCTAATAGAGTTTTTCCGATAGCGTTATCTGATAGCCTTCAACTTCTGGTCGAGATGCAAGTTATGGAGAATTAGGGGGGTAGGGTTGACAGACCTTGCAGTGTTGCAAAATGTGTTACGTAAAGAAATCATGAGCAGTGTGCCTCATCTCAATGCACAAGCCACAATGTTTGGATCAGAACTAGCTACTTATGTGTGTTGGATTTCTACAATGGGTGGAGCCTTTCTGGCCGACAAAACAAACTTCTACAGTGTTGAATTGCTATTCTATCACCTTGTGCACAATGTCGGTCTACCTACCATTCTGCAAACCCTCGGAGACATGCACAACATGGGTTACTGCATTTGGTGTGTCTGTATGTCTGTCCTTCAGTCCATCCGTCTGTCAGTTACCATGTTTTCTGCCGCCACGTGCATGACACCAGGGCAAAAAACAACACCACCAACAGTTAAGTGCTGCACTAGGTTGATTTCAAGTTTACAATTTTCGTTAAAAGTGACGTGTGAAAGTTATGGCGCGAAAACAAGCAAGATGCAAATAATTAGCACTGGCTGCTGCTCTACCCTTTAACTCTTAATACTGTATATTATATATCCTCCATCATTCATAGCATGTGGTATGTGTCCTCTCACAACTACACACTTCATTTCACCCTCGAAAAACTAATTGCAGGCAAACTCAGTTCTTGTCCATATAAGGCACGGGAATGCAAGTAGATACCTTTGTTCTGGCGAGAGAGAGAGAGAGCGGTATGCATACTGCAACGTCAGCAAACAGTTGGCAAGTGTGTGAACTATGGCATGAGCTTATCCCCATATTAGGCTAGACTGAACAATATCAGTGCTGTATTAAACCTTTTCGTCATTACTCATCACATCATCACTACGTCGTACATTCTGTAGACACTACACAAAGAATGGACAATGTAAACCTTGTTATACTAGACAATGGATGAGAACCCACAGGAGTAGTAATGGCATTGAAGTGACAGATTTTGAAACTGAACTACAAAAGTGTGCTCATGACTAAATATAGCATACACTTTACATTTGGGTCGGGGTTTGCAGAATGCTCTTGTGCAAGCTGCATACAAAGAAATGCTTGTAATAGCAGCAGAGGTTTTAGGACAGACAACTGAAAGAGCAGCCACTACTGATGAGAAGAAGGATACGAGTTACATGTACACCAAGACAGTACTGCCTGATCATAATCCTTGTTGCTAAATATATGATTATGTCACAAAGCCGAAAATGGCAGAGTAGTTGCTAAAAATAGTAACCAGTGAGGTTAAGCCCTGGTTCTCTCCCAGCCACCAAGAAGAGAAGGAAATGAGTCCACAATGGGACAGACCCACTACAACGATATAGACCTCCACTACTAGTGTGTAGTCATATCAACACAGTCTCAGAGTCCCCTCAGTGTAGCAACATGGATAAAATGGCCTCCTTACAATGACACTAGCACATGATAAGGAGTGTGTTGTACTTTCCCTCTGCCTTACAAGAAGTATTGAGCAAAGTTGTATTTCTAGTGGAAATGCTTGGGAGAGCGGAGCAAAGTAGTGTTGTACCTGGAGAGCTAGTACGAACTCCAAGTGGTCCCTACCAACTAGTTGAGGCTGAGCACGCCCGCAGAGATTTGACTGGGTGACCAAGTGACTCTACAACGATGTGAAAGTACCGAGAGACTATTCGAGTGATGCCTCCACTTCCTGGCTAAAGAAGAAACGAAGCTACAGCTTGAGCTTTCACAAGTGATGCACACCCTACAATATTGGCAGTTATTACATTTACACCTACGTTTGTGGAGTTTGGTAATGTTCCTCCTAAGACCTTACTTCTACGTACATGTAAACAGAGGTTTTACACAATAAATCTTTCATACAGAAACGAGCTGCTGCTATACTGGTCCATAATGACAGAGGCAGTGTAATCATATAAACTGAATGCAGCGTACACGTACACATTAGAGACCATCACACCCTATGTAACCAGGACTAAGATATATCTTCCCAGATTTTTGGACCTAGTTTTTGGACATTCCCCTGGTGGTACAAATGCAAAATGGTAACTCATGCCATCAGGGCAGTGGAATCCACATGGCCACGGACTAGGTCTTATTCTGCACCCCATGGAAATCTAAATCGCATCACATCACATGGTCTATAAACTGCATGCTGTACAATGCTATAGGTACACATACATACACACAGTACATCTACAGTTTGTGGTTGGGCCACTCCTTTGGCAGGACCTGGCTAGCTCATCAGCGGTGATGAAGGACACAACGACATAACACTGCCTTTTGCTGTACAGAGGAGAGGTCTACATGTGTATATACCCTACATGCACTTACAGTCAGAGTACGATAGTACATACTGTGGAAATGGGCTGGCACTCAGAATGGCTCCAAACGAGTGGGCTCTAGTTGTGCTATAATAACCAGTCTGCCTAATATGGTACGCACACTTGCCAGTACGCTAATGGACAAAACAGCAAGTACATTTTGATAGCACAGATACATAAGATTGCCACAAGCCAAGATATATCGTCCTTAACATGTGCGTGTACGCAGACTATCACCCACAATCCTTGAGTAATGAACAATGGAACCCCTTCTCAGGAACTACCATAACACATTCTCAAGGAACAATTCATGGATTCCTCACTAACACTTTCTTCTGTCCCATTTTGTCCAATTAGAAGGTTCCGGCGGAAGAAACGACACGCGTGTATCACAGACACATGACAATGGTGGAGGAGTAGTAGGGAGAAGGGGTGGGTGGCCTGACCTGATAGAGAGAGAGTAGTCCGTGCGACAGACTCTCGCTGTTCCTGACCAGGAAACTAAAGTCTCGTTTGCTGCCAGAACTGCCTCTGCCTCTGCTCTGGTGATGGCCCCATGGTACACCTGCAGTGTGTGGTGTGTGTGTAGAGAAAATAGAGTCAGTGTTATGATTTGTGTTCATATGATTTGTAAAGACTGGTCTCCAATAGTCTTACTCAGCCTTGTGCAGTCTGCAGCGGTCTGGGAATAGACTACGTTTCTATTTCAAAGACCAGAATTGCGTGGTCTAATGGGTCGTCGAATGGGTCTTGCCAGTTCCATATCTTATGTTCAGACGCACAAGACTGAGTAATGACTAGATAGAGACCAGCCAGTCACCACAGTGTGTGTCAAAGACATTAAGTATTTTGGATGTCACAAGAGGAAAGCAAGTGACGAGGGACATCCCCTGATATTCAACACTAATTACCACACACGTCGAATATCAGCAGCCGGCTCAAAGACCATGTGTAAGTACATTAATCCCACATTTGCACATGCCTGCACATCCACTAGATAAACACAATGGCCATTGCTCAAAAGGATAGCATGCCACAATGACTCCTACAATGAGACTTCCATTTGTAGAGGCAGTATGATGGCGAGATGACATCAAGAGCTCATCATACAAGGAGGAGAGCAAGGGCAAAGCAAATGCAAGAACACACGTTTGCACATTATGTACATGATTTCATCACGTGTATGGTGTGCGTTAGCCACACGGCGGCAAAAATGCATAATTTTCGACAAGGTCGGGCTACTTTGCTTATAAACGACTTCTGCATAGCGCCCTAACCAAATGGAATGAATGACCACTTGACGACACACAGACAAGCAGGTAGTACACTCCCTGCACGTGCAACTACAAAGGTTATATTGGTGAGACGACGCAAGTGCAAAATACCCGTTTTACAGGTAATTAAGATTACGTAGAGCATCACAGCATGGACAGTGCCGAAACAATTTAGAGATGTAGGTGACCTGGTTCACTCGCCAATTACAGCTTGCTAAATGGAGCACACCACTGATCAGCAAGCACATCATCCACTAAAGCAGAAGAGTCAAATCACGTACCACTATACATATCATACCCCGTCCAGCAAAAAACATGCACACCAAAACCTTACACGGCAGACAACCAGCAGCAAAACACAGTGTCTTATTCCAGTATAGTAGAGAGGGTCTCTCTCTCTGGGTGCGTGACAACACTGGTATGGCCCCCGACCTGCACGTCCACGTGGTGGACTATATGGAAACAATCGTATCCCATGTAAAAGAATGTGAAAGCAGCGTGTACTTGGGACTGGCACATACCGAAAACAGCAGCACGTCTACAAATACAACACACACCACAAGGTGAATCACTCAAAGAAATACACACATGTAATTGCGTGTCCGTGAGTATTACTTCATGTACACCTTGCATTGTAGCACACAGACGTTATAGCAGCATTAGATGTAGAGATAGAGGATAGGGAGGGGAAGGTGGTAGGAGAACGGAGGTTGTTATAGGTCAAGCACGTGCACGTCTATACATTGTGTATACTGTATACAATCTATAGCCATGTAAAGAAACGCGAGTCGGTACAGCATTCCAAATAGTCCCTGTCCAATCAGCATCCACAAACAAAGGCTGTCACCACCAACCACAGCACTGTAGACAAAGGCAATACTGGAGGTGGTCTACAGTACGCTAACAGAGAGTCCCTCTACAGCAGGAACCACGGTATGGGGATGTTGGCAACACTATCACTCCAGCAGTCAAGAGCAGTGAGAATACGAGTGACGAAATGGAGTGAGAGAGAGAGGGAGTGAGGGAGGGAGGAGAGACGCAGTTAGAGGAGGCATGCGCGCAATAACATTCCTAAGCAGTTCGCGCTTACAGTTATAATGTAATCAAGCTGCACAAGTGAAGAGGTTCTAGCTGATGTGCAGGTGAGCCAACTTACTATTCCTTACTATTGTGTAAGTATGTCCTGGGAGTGCACCACATGCAGAATACTCTTAGCCTCAGCAAACCAAGGCTGCAGCTATTGAGAAAGTGCTGAATCAGGAGAGGTTGACTGGAGCTTAAACTCTAGGTCACATATGAGGCAATGGGCAAAACCTCATCTGGAGAGAGTTTGTGTCATTCTCACTGTCAGCACTATTACCTACAGAGCACACACTATAATTATACAGTGGTGGTGGTATGCGTGTGTCTGGATGTGGGCACTGTTTACAAATAGGCAGTTGTTGTGGCGAAAGTGATGATGAGATCAGAAGGCATGATGTAAGACATCAGCTGCTGATACACCACAATCTGTGGTCTACTTCAAAGGGTGGGGGTCTGTGCATGTGGCAAACAAGCATGTGATGGAGCTGTGTGCGCTGTGAGAAGGCTGCATCTGGAATTTGAGTGTACACAACAGGGTCACCTGGTGAACTGAGTCTGACAACATTTTCAGTGCCCGCGCTTCCCTTATATGACCCTAATCTACCCCAACAGGGTACATTCCAAGCCGCTGAAAAAACACACACATACACCGCCCATGAACTTGCTCCACCCGTTTGCACGCTCTTTAAAAATAGAACCTTCTGGCTTGACCTTGGTATGATCATTAACATGCTAGCAACAGTACAATTCAATTAGCCGAGTGCCGAGCAAAGTGTACATATGTACTGCACACATTGACCAGTGTGTAGGGCTACACATGTGTAACACGATTGGCAACGGCAACAAGCCCTCCCAGTCACAAGGCCAACTCCCACTACGTACACAGCGACTTCTAACAATTGTACACCATAGTACACCGTACCGTGCCATCCACCTTCATCGCACAGCGAGCATTTTCCTTCCTAGGCATTCCACTCACACTGCTGTTTACAAGCACGGTCAATGACATAGGGGTTGGAATGAGGAGATAGGGGCTGCCACTCATACCAACGATGCTCAAGGAAGCTGTAGCCACATCACACAGTGCTACCTCACACACACAGCAGAATCAACAGTTGGTGGCTCCACATGGGTGTATACAGTACAGAGAGGAAATTAAACACTCTGTTCTTCCCGCTTACCTCTTACCCAAGTCACACTGAGATTAGTAAACAATAATTCAAGAGGATGGACGTCTGGGCTTTTGCATATGTGTGTACATAATGCATGCACCTGGCTTAAAACATGCACGCAGACTGTTGCGTTTTGACCAAGTGTCATCACCTATCTATCCATTCACCCTCATACTCTCACCACCAACCACAGCACTGTAGACAAGTGTGAGTAGTTCAATTTTTGCACATATACGCAAAACTGAGTCATGAAATTGATTCTACAGACACCATAAGCAGGAAGACACCCACAACATTTCTCACTCCTCATCACACAAAAGACACTCCTCCCTCCTTCCCTTCATCTCACTCCTAATTGAACCCTTCCTCATCTGCCCGGGGTCACTACCACCATGCTGATACCTCCATACAGTGAAAGATTTAACCTCATTTCACCCTCCCTGTGATCAATACTGTCCAATAAGAATAAAGTGTATCACGAAAAAATTCTCCCTCGTTTGAATTTCATCCAAGAACTCAGTCTTATCCAACACTTCCCCCTTCGGATGTACTCTAACCTTCCTCTGTCTACCTCAACGATGCTGTAAGTCCCACTCCTGGCTAAAGAGTTTCTTTGGATACTTATCACCTGACATTACCTTATACCACCACTAGCCTTAACTCTCTGACCTTGCGATGTATCCAGCTCCATATCTCCTAAAGCACCCAAGAATCCGCTTCGACCAACCAAACATGACAGACTCCAACCAATGCAGCTGACTGTGTCTTGTGCCTTCCTATACTTCACACTCCTACTCCAAGAGTCTAAAAGTGACCATTATAATGACAGATTGGAAAATAGAGCCCATCACTTCTCCTAACATGTCCTGCTAAAGTCCAGTACAGAGGTCAAAAACCCACTGGTGACTGCATGCTAAGAGCTGCTGCTTCACTACTGTAACAGTACAGTGATGTACTGTAAACTCTTGCTCCACTGCTATCATCAGGTCAGATAGCTAATTCTTAGAAAAACCCTTCTAAGATCTCTGCAAATTTTACAAGCTCTACCAACAAACCAACTCCGGTATATACTGTATATATAATAGCTAAACACATACTGGATCACGCCGGGGAGTAACAGGAGATGGCTTTGGAGCTGGTGGCCTCCTAAGTCTGCGAGCTAAGACCTCTTCGCCCTCTCTTCTAGAGAGAGGGATCTCGTGACGAGACCAACGGTTCGCTGACGGAGGGAGGGTCCGCCTTTTCAGCCATCTTCGATAAACAAACGTAGCGTGAAAATGTGAGGATCGAAGCAAATTCACCGCTGAACTCAAATCTGTCCATAAAGTAAGGCTGAAACAAATTATGAGTGGAAGTTCAGCAGTGAGGAGACTGCTGCCGGTCTCACGGAAGCAGTTGAGGAGATCGTGGAGGTACATCAACGCTGCAGTCTCACCATAATCCGTCACCTCTCCTGGTTAGACCATAGATCCTGATATAGTCTTGCTCAGTGATGCCACACCATCTGGTCGTGCACATCAGTTAGTGGAAGTGTTGTTTGCAGGAGGAGCAGAGTAGAGGACTGAGAGTGAGGTCATTCCACTGCAGTACTCCATGTCCAGCCACTACTGGGGCTCAGGGAGTGATCGGGACGACCTCCCAATGTCTCTGGACCACCTCCGAAAACCAAGTCAACCTGCTGCCGGGACCACTAGCCATTAGGAGGATGGATGGTGTGATGGATACACTCTGCCTCACCCTGTGTGGAGTGAGGAGGAATTGAACTCTGTCCAGATCACTCACACTCCTTCAGAGAAACCTGTTAACACGGTACACAGTCACTCAACTCTTACTAACTACTCCAAACACTGACCCTACTCCCCTGCAGGCTGCCTATTACTCTGTGCAGATGCTGAGGACGGGGTTTGATCTGTTGTCTGGGTATTCGTGGGGCAAGAGGTTTGGTACACTGGATGAGAAGATGTGGCTCCCAAGAATCATCTATCTTGAGACAGTGGCTGGAGTACCAGGTGAGAAATATCCATCAATATGTCTGTGTGCCTAGGAAAGTCCGCAAACCTTGACATTTAGTGAATAAATGTCAAGGTTTTTCACAAGAATCAGTCAAAGTCTTGTCCATTTTCAAATCTTGACTCTAATGTGACCCAATACACTCTACATGTCTCCAGGTATGATAGGTGCAATGGTGCGTCACTTGAAGTCTCTGCGGTGCATGACTCGGGACCATGGCTGGATACACACCTTGCTGGAGGAGGCAGAGAATGAAAGGATGCACCTCCTCACAGCTCTGGAGCTGAGGAGACCTGGACCTCTCTTCAAGATTGCCGTCATTGGAACACAGGGTGAGCCACTGAAAGAAAGGGCTTATGAGATTCCCTGAAGTGTGTACTTACCAGGGTATTTTTACTAACCTTACTAACCCTTTTGCACATTTTAACTCTAGCATGTCATTCTTAAACTTTTTAAAACCTACTGGTCCTTCTCTCCCTCCCCAGGTGTGTTTGTGAGTATGTTCTGGATAGCATATTTCCTCAGTCCCAGATTTTGCCACAAGTTTGTTGGCTACTTGGAGGAAGAGGCAGTCAAGACCTACACTCACTGCATTGAGGTACATACTCCATTCTACATGACACTTGATTGTTAGCCAGCTCTATTAGTGAGCAAGCAGCCCACTAGAGGATGTGGGAGAATACAAAATCTCCTCAGGTTGCTGTCTGCTACTGCAGACTGCCTGTAAGCCTGTTTATACACATGACTCCACATGACTTGGCATGACTTGGAAGTTGAGGTTGGCCACTTCCTGTTCATGTCAATCAGAAATACACCACAACTATTGCATCATGGATCAAAATGTCACACAAAAACTGTGTTTACACATGATGCTAATGTTATTGCTCTCTCTATGATGTAGGGTGATGCAATGATGAGTGATGTGCTCCTGGTCATTAGAGCTGATGAGGGTCACCACAGAGAGGTGAACCATACCCTGGACTCAATGAGACCCTCTGTAACTAATCCATTTAGCCATGGTCAATGACATCACCATTATGTCACCTTCAGTGTACAAGTACATGTCTTCATCTCAACTGTAAACATGTGATTTCTGACTACACACAAACACACTGATTCTCATTTTGTCAATAACCTGCATATCGAGGGCGGCAGACAATATTGGTTTCACACTCCACGTTCCATACATACATGGGAGATGTACGTACGTAGAACAAAGTATCATTAATTTCATGTACCATACCTACACACACACACACATTCTGGTGACAACTAAGTTGAAACCCCACCAAACAACATCACTCCGGTATTTAAGAAGTACTGCACACTGCAGTGTCATAAAAAGGGGGAACTTAAAATGCAAGAAAACCATTTTGATAATTTTCTCCCTTGTGTTTTTCCCCATACCCTAAGGTATAGCTGGAGCTCAAGAAACTCAACTCTTATATAACATGATCAGAGAGAGAGATGACTGCGAGTTCATGAATGCTGAAACATGACTCTCTAGTGCAAAGAGCCCATCACCAGTGCATCCGTAGTTTAGCGGATCTTTACATGGTGCAAGACCTGGAAACCAAGGATCAGAGCTCACCAACTGATCACTCTTAGTCAACCTTGATGGCTGAAGTTTAAGTGCTGGACAGACGAATAAGAATTCGCTCTGGCCAAAAGGTGTCCACTACCCACATTCTTGGACAGATCAAAGAAACATCTTGGAATGTGGACCGACTCTCTCTACTGAAAGTGACTCTCAAGAAGAAGCTAGACACATTGATGGGACTCGATGTAGAGATCATCTAAAACACACCTGAGGATGGATTAGACGATGAGATTAAGCAGTCAGACGAATACGAATACCTTGGGGAAATGTACGTGTGGGAATGCACAACCTATGACATGGATGCTGACGTGCTGAACATGTGATTTCTGACACACAAACAAACTGATTCTCATTTTGTCCATATTGAGAGTGGTACACAACATTATCGGTTTCACACTCCACGTTCTAGACATACATGTGAGATGTACGTACGTAGCACAAAGTATCACTCCATCCACCATACCTACACACACATCATTTGCATGGAGGGTGATGTATATAGTATAGGATTCTCGATTATGCACACTATGTTTGTAGTTTCAAGGACATGCTCTAGTTTATAGTGATCCCTGGACACTGGTTGTGGGTTGACCACTACAAGGTGCACGGGCATACATAGTCTTAAAGTTGCTGCCCACAATTACACTCTAGACTGACTATTACTTTTCCAGCAAACAATGTTGCGTTTCAAGATGGTCGACACAGGGTTTCATTGGCGTGGAAGGAGTTTCATGAACCTCTACAAGAGAACTATCACCTGAGTCTCAAATGGTTGCAAGGACTACTGCATGGATTCAATGTAGACCCAGAGATATTGAACGAATATCACCATTTGAGCTCAACTACGAGAGAGGGTTATCGAAGCCATCCAAGTGCAGGAGCTTCACTCCTATCGAGTAAACTGCCTATCTCATCCTGAGGTAGTACATCAAGATAAGACAACTACCAAGTCACACATTGTCTATGATGGTTCTACCTAGTAAGATGGTCCCTCGCTGAATGACTGTCTGCACAAGGATCGTTTCAAGCAACTTATCCTCAACCCATTTGCAATCTGCCCTAACAGCTGACGTAGAGAAGGGATTCTGATTGCAGTAACTAACCGTGAAGTCCTACACTTCATCTTGGTAGACGACATACACAAGGATAAGCCTGCAGGAGAGGGCGCGTGCGCGATCGACCGCGCGTTGGCTTTTTCGCTTGTTTTCACGCCATATCTCTGGAACGCAGTCGTTTCAGGAAAATCGCCACATTAATTGGGCGAGCGGAGCGAGCCCACCTAGTCGTGTCTTCGGCTCGGCGCGGATTTTCTATATCTCTACGACCGTACGTCGTCCAACTGCGCATGCTCCAGGATTACGCGCTTCTTTTTATCCGACAGGATTTCAAAATTTCACATGCTGTCTGCCTGTGATGATGTCGTGCGTATACATTTTGCATATAGTCCGGGGATAAGATGCCCTTCGTCGTCGAAGAGAGTGGGAAAGAGAACATCGTGCCCGTGAGACTCCTGAGCAGAGAGGCTCTTTTGTATCAGCCTCGCTTTCGCGGTAGGGAACGCGCTAATTTTTACACGCTGCCTAGCTGTCATATCGATGGCATGCGAAATATAGCCAGCCAAACAACTCTCGTCTATTTGCTGGCATTCGCTGCGCTCTTCGATACCTGACCGAGACTGTCTATACCTCCTTCCAATCTTCGTGATTCTAAGGTTCAAGTTGTAGGATGGCTCTTGCAGATAGAGTCATTGTGTGCTCGCTCCCGCTCGCCAAAAATGCCATGCATTCGCCTACTAGTATTTTTTAATTTTTTTATTCCACGCACCGTCGTCTTAGTGCGCATGCGTTAATATTACGCGCTTCTTTTTCCTCCATCGTATATACAGTCCATCCAGTTGGCTTCGGATTCATCCGCGGAGGATAGTGTTCTTCGTCGAAGAAAAACAGACAGAGAATCGTGTCTTCGGCTCGAATTTTCTATCTATGTATGCCCGGCCGTCGAAAGTCCTCACGACAGAGAGGCTCGTCTTTTTCAGGGACGACTACGAGATCGAGAGCGGGCAAGGCAACGTTACTGCTTCTGGTCCAAGAGGTAGACAGACAGAACGCCCGCCCGTGCGAAAGTCTTCACAACAGAGAGGCTCGTCTTTTTCAGGGACCATTACGAGATCTTGAGCGGGCAAGGCAACGTTACTGCTTCTGTTCCAAGAGGCTGACAGACAGAACGCCCGGCCGTCGAAAGTCCTCACGACAGAGATTCTTGTCTTTTCAGCGACGATTAGGGGATGGAGAGGGGGACTTTCTTCTGGTCTAGCTACGTATGCGCAAGCTGCCTTACTCAACCTAATATGACAACACCATAATAACTTGCTGTTACTTGGTGAAACATTTTACCTGTAGGTACGTAGCTATAATTATTATCGCATGATGATGGTTGTATTAGTTCTCGCTCCGCTCGCCCAAGGAATGCCAAGCATTTCCACTAGCATCAATCTTCTCGTTGTTCACAACCCGTTGGTGCCACTCATAGGCCGCCTCGTAGCCTGTAGTGCGAGAACTCGCGCGGACAGACGGACAGACAGACAGAACGACTACTGTAACCCTCTCTGCGCATGCACGCCGAGGGTTAATAATGCTTGGGACTACACCAACCAAGAAATTAGGCGAACACAATTCTGTTGGAACACCGGCAGTGACTGATTCTGTTGTTCGACATCTCAGATTTGCAGACCCATGCACAACCGTTAAGACTATCCCCTTAGCTGCGCTGCAAACCTGGTAAAAAGTGAACTAAACACAGGTTATGCTGTGAGTCAAAGTTCCGCAACTTAATTGTGAAAATGGTTGCACTGTGTGTGCATCTACCCTTGCCCTACTGTGTTAGCAGCCAAATGGCATCGTTCACTGTCTACCATGTTTTTAATATAGTCTGTAAGTCACAATCAAAATACTCAAGATATAATATAATAAAAGATACTTAGAATTAGTTGACCACGCACTGTTTTTTCGCACTGGATTTTGGTACGTAATGGGAGGTGACATCCCCACAGCAAAACTCACGCTCCAGTTCTCTTGCTAGTGCATTCTCATTGACTGATGGAGATTTCAAGACACTGACTAAGGTGTTCCAAGTGAATGGAGGACTTGAAGATCGCTCCCATATGTCGAGAATAGCCGTGAACTGTTCAAAGCACTCGCGTTTGTCTCTACGAACTGCATCAATTGCTCCCATTCCAATCTCCAGCTGAATAGCAACTTGCACCCATTTTCCTGGAATGATGGCTGCCACACGATTCGCCAAATCACTCATTTTCGGTGATGAAGTACGCTTGAATGCTGTTTGATCTGAAAGTGCATAAAATTGTGCAGCAATAGCTTGATCCTGAATAGATATGTATATACACCATCACAATGACTGTGCTTCACGAGGGCATACCTAGTAATTTATCCTAAAATAGGGACCAATCACATCACTTTTTAATTAAAATACTACTTTCTTGTTGTAGTAATAGGAAAGCACATAAATAAACTTTGCCTAACACCACTTAACAAACAACCCATGTATGTGGACACAATATTCCGCTAAGATCCTACAGCCTAGTACTTAGACGTCCATCGAGGGGGAAGGAATGCTTAGTAAACTTGCATGACGTAATTTACACATTATTCTGTGTAAAAGGATATCCATGTATAGTGACATATTTATCGACTCACAGACTGCATATATACAAGGGTGTGAAGCATCAGGTACTGTGTCCCAGGTTTACCATTTTGCGCTTAAAAGAGAACTAGAAGTGCAAGAGGACTAAGAACCTTCTACTTACGCTGTTTCCGCAGGAAAAGCTGTGTGTACTTTGGCTCCAAACAGACTCGTGGAAGAGAAGGGAAAATATGCCGCAACTTCTCAGCAACAAGCACTTTAATACACACGTGTTAATTAAGCAAACAGCACTAACTCTTAGGCAAACAGCACCATAGCAAGTGATGGTCATGTGAAGCAAAAATATTTAACACACATTTTTAGTTCCCTCAGAAAGCCATGCTCCGGTCTTTGTCTTCAATAAGGCATGCGCAGGCAGGTTTAAGTACATGCACAACAAACAGGATTCAATCCTGAATCGTTATAATGCGTGATGACGGACTTCTATAGGAACTGTTGCCCAGCTTACCAATTCCCCAAGGCCCTGTACTGTGGTAAACTGATGCTACGACAGCTTTGTATTTGGAACTCACCTATGCCACTAAGCCACACAGCCTGTCCTGGATTCAGTCTGTCAAAGATATTTGAATTCTCGGAACATATCCATTTCTTGCCATTCTTGGATATACGTGCAGTGTGTAGTTCAGTGCTACAAGATTCATTCTGGACAGGGCACAGGAAGGCGGGCACTGGGCGAGAGTTTGTGTGGTGAGTGTTCTCCAGACCTGCCTCGACTGCAGCAAACAGCTCCGACCTCACATCCTGGCAGTGCTCCACCAACTCCTCGCGATCCATCTTCCTGGTGTCCACATTCACACAGGCAACGAAGAAGGAAAAGTTGTCGATGAACGTCACGGTGCCCGGTCTGTCACACTTTGAGAATGTGATGGAGTTGCGAGAGATCTGGCAGAGTTGTCTGTCGGGTGTGTCTTTGTTGTGAGGAGTGGTGGGTGGCTTGTGGACAACCTCCCAGTGGGCATGGGACTGAAGGTGGCACACACTGCAGCAGTAGACCCCGGGAGGAGCCCAGCCAGTGGGGAACTCCACCACCAGAGCTGCTATCTCTGTGGCTGTGCAGCTGGCCAGGAATTGATTGACTCGAGATTCTGGGGTCATGCTCAGGACTGCAGGGGAAGAAGTACTCGGTAGCTGACAAGGGACAAATGACAAGGAGCTTTTCAAGCAACAGTAGAAAGTCACTTGGAGTAAAGATTCCTTTGACATAGTGGGACTTGAATTCTTCGAGAAACTCGAGAGTGAGGACACCTTTATCTCTGAAACACTGCCAGTCACCTGTCATTGCAAGATTGGCAGCTTTTGTCGGATCAGCTTCTGCAGCTTTCAGATGGTACTGCTTCTCCACAAGCTTTGACAGCTTGTCTAGAGGAACTTGAGGATTGGTGAAGACGACTCCGGGTAGAATGTTCTTTTTGAACAGGAAAATGTTGAGCTTGTCAAAGAAGGCCAGAGCAGCATCAAGCTGTCGTTCAGAGAACCCCAGTGACTTGGAGACATGGAGGCACTCGTCTTTGCTCAGAACATCTCTGCCGAGCTTGTGTGTTAGCGCTTCCAGGATCAGCTGGAGGATGAACCACCAGATTGGAATCTTGTGCTGTGTGGCACCTTTCTCGATGCTGGCTCTGATCTTGCTGGCCTCTTTCTTGTCGTCTTCTTCTGGGGTTTTGGTATTGACTGGGAAAACTATCTCCTTTAATCCCTCGATTGCGATAAACGACGTCTTTCTTGAAGTGAGGAGAAGCAATTGCAGCAAAAATCTTGTTCTTTTCTTCCACTGTTTCTGTGCATTCTTCTTTTAAATCTCTGTGTGTCCCAACAGCAATGATCTTGGAGCGTTTTTCTCCTTCATGCTGGCCTCGAAGCATTGTCTTGAAGGCCTGTGCAGTGGTGAGTGTGGCTCTCTGGCTGGGACCAACCTGTTTCCCTCTCTGGTAGAGGTCATTCAGAGGGTGTTCGTCAAGCTTCTCGCAGAGCCTGTGGACAAAGAGGGTGGCTGTGGTGTCACGTGTGAATATCGGGATGAGGTCCCAGAATGGTTGCTGGCCACCAGTGTCAGTTAGGTAGATCAACTCCATGTCCAGGAGACGACGTGATGACTTCCCACTACCCACCAGCCGAGTCAGCTTCCTGATCACTCCATCAATGACTGCCTTGCCCTCCTTTTCACCAGTCGAAGCTACACTCCCAACACTTGGTTTCTTCTCCTCATTCTCCTTCTCGCCGTTACCCTTCCCGTCCTCAACCTTCACCTCATTTCCCCCACTCACCTCCCCTTCCCCTCTCCCCATCTCCCTCTCCCTCCTCCTCTCCCTCTCCCTCTCCCTCCCCAACTACCAAGTCCGATAGAATATTCTCCAACTCCTCCATTCCCTTTCCCTTGGCTCTGAGGTCTTCATACAGAATGGGAACTGCTTCTGCGATCATCTCTTGAAACTCTTTTGTGGAGATCTCATTCCACTCTCCTCCTTCCTTGCCGACTCGTATCACTCGAATTGCTCGCTCGGCACAGCCGGTGCTGTGTCTTTCTTTTGGAGGAGACTTACTGAGGAGGAGGTACATGACGCAGGTTTTGCCGACACCTGCAGGTCCCTCCACAATCACTTTCACTAGTGTCACGTTCACATAGCCCTGCTTCATTGCTTCTCTCAGGAATGCTCTCGACTCTTCATCTACAGAAATATAGGGAATGTGTCAGTACATAAGGGCTAAATTTAGAAATGTTACCACCGCGAACGCGCGGGCCAGGCCGAGCCGCCTTCGGCCCACACGGGACGCCACGCAGGGCGCTTCGGCTGTGGCTGCGGGCACCGCGACGGTGCTTACCCTGGTCGCGACGGTGCTGCTTTATCGCTGCACGAAGAGACATCCTCAGTTGCATCAGCGCAACTGGCAAAATAAAATCCGCGCTTGTAGACTGCCGCGCGTGAAGTGAAAAAGAAAAGAAACGGAACGGAACGCCAACGACAAATGAACGGGTTTTCAGTAGGAAACGGAACGGAAACGAAAAGGAACGGACTCATATTGGAAACTTTTTTACTCCTACGGTAATAATTACATTCTTGCACTTGGCCCCATTGTTTAGTTCTATCTTTTGGAATGCAACAGGAAATCCGTTAGCGAAAACCGCGCTGTTTACACTAAATTCGCAGGCTACAAATACGCTCTGGTGGACTGGGTTGGGGAGAAAAGCTACTCTGTGGTCCCATGCTTGAGCATCAACCAAGGAGTTTACAGCGTTGGCACCGTGGAGAATGTGACAACAGGCCAAGGAGTTTTCAAGGGAGTCATTTCTGCTGTTGGTAAGTAAATTGTAATTATTAACCCTCGTTAACCCTCGGCGCGCATGCGCAGCGAGGGTTACAGTAGTTGGGTTTGTCTGTTTGTCTGTCCATGCTCCAACTCACTTCTCGATGGTTTATTCGTCCCACAAACGATACGACGTAATAAACGGGTAATAAGGATCAGTTTAATCGAACGGTTTTTCCTGAAACGACTGCGTTCGAGAGCGACAAACTGGCACCGTCGCGGCGGACCGTGTTCCGTGGCCCAACCCATCAATAAGCGGTGCGCATGCGTATATTACACACACTGCTATTGTTCATTGTGTCGCACAAGTTCAAACCATTTCAAATATATTATATATATCAACGTTATAAATCCTTCCTGGTAAAAGCTCTCTCTTCTTCTAATCTCATATTTACTCAGTCTGCTCATCTTGTTAACTGCTTCACTGGTTATAATTTTCACTATGGTCACTTACATGTTAGATGTTTTCATGATGCTGATATTAGTATTGCACATGTAATCAGATTCGTTCGAAGTACTTTTGGTTTATTTTCAGACTTTGAGTCCCTTATTTCAAGAATTTCATGTCAGTAAATTTTATTTCATGTAGTCGCTTTTGCAAGAATTATGATGAGGGGACCAGTGGCCGGTCCAGGAGCCCTTAAGCCCACGGATCGCGACGGGACAGAGTCCAGTCGGCCACTGGTCTACTCTCTGTGTTTCTTCTATCTCCCTCTGTTTTTCATTTTATGTGTGCACCTTTACTGGTGTGTATGACAATAATAATAATAATAATAATTAGACGCGATCAACGCGGCCGGCTCACCCCGACCTGATCCGCTTGCTCTGTGTACCTTGAAGGCACAAGAAACCACAGCGAAGGGCGTGTATCGACTCCCGCATGTTATCTACTACCGTCGCTAGCCTTTGTCAGACTCTCCGCGAGCTACTAGCGGGAAACTACGGGTCCGCCCATTATCGGCACCGCGCATGCGCAGTTCGCCGAGGGTTTGCACTTCAGTGCTTTTCGAAATGATTGTTAAAGTTTGAATTGAGGTATCGAGGATGCAGCTGGAGCCAAAAACAAAATCTCGTACTCTAGATGCAGACACACTGTCTAGACGGACAGGCATGACATAGAGTTCTGTCTATTAAGGCACTAAGGAGGAGATGAGGTAGCTGGAGCTGGAGCGGGGAGAGCAAGAGAATGAGGAGGTTGAGAACTCTGCACTGATTGAGAAGCAACAGAAATGTGAGAGTATAATGATATGACCTGAGATAGTGGGGAACTTATAACTTCTATCTCAGCTGCTGCCAAGAACAGGCAGGGAAAGAAGAGAGGGAGGGGTGAACATGATTCAGTGACGAAGAAGAGAAAGAGTCAGGGTTAGTTAAAAACATTGTTTGGACTTAATGACAGTCTTTTTCCCTTCGATTTACAATCAACTGCAGGAGGAATGTTTAGAATGGTAATTGTCACTGAGCATGGCGCCATGTCTGGTAACTTTCTCTTCTTTCTTGTGCAACAGTGCATGCTACGTTCATATCCATGCAGATGCTGCAGCAAATGAAGGGGAAATGCCAGCTGAAAACCTGCAACCTCCCCTCCCGGCTTCTTCTGCAGTAGCCTAACCTCCATCTCCCTCACGTTCGCCTCACCTCCCGGTTTCCTCCGACCAAAACTCCCAACCTCCCCTCCCGGCTTCTCCTCCAGTAGCCTCACCTCCATCTCCCTCACGTTCGCCTCACCTCCCGGCTTCCTCTGACCAAACTACTCCTCCAGCTACTCCTCCAGTTACTCCTACAAGTCTCCCCACTACTCCCCAAGCTACTATACCTGTGTTGGAAACCCCTCAGCTACCAAGGGTTTGTATAGATAGTAATCATATTGTTTATGTCACTGACTGACCGATACAGATCTCACTCAGTTGATTGGGGATGCTTTACAGCCCTCAAGCCCCTGGCTCTTTTGGAGGAAATAGTTGAAAACGGTATGCATTTTAAATCTTTAAACCATTTTACAGTGCCTCTTTCAACACAGAAAAGCTGTCAAGGAGGGTGTCTTCTCTGGAAAACACCATTATATCTATGCAGAACACCCAGGCCCGGCTCGTCAGTGAACTGCAACAGGTGTCTAACAGGCTGTTTTACTTGACAGACATGTACAATTACAACTTTGACAGCTTTGTTGACCAAGTAACTGAACCACAGCAGCTACCAGCACAACACTCACAGATACCTCAACAGACGCTACCTCAACAGACAACTCTACCCCAACACACTACGCTACCTCAACAGACAACTCTACCCCAACACACTACGCTATCTCAACAGACGTTACCACAACAGACAAATCTACCCCAACAGACTATGCTACCTCAACAGCAACAGACACTACCACAACAGACCACTGTACCTCAACAGACTATGACACCCCAACAGATGCTACCACAACAGACGACTTTACCTCAACAGACGGTACCACACCGGACATGTGATGCAAACAGTCCCTTGCCTTTAAATTCCAAACTTAGGAACAGACCACTAGTTATGACACGACCACCAGACTCTACATATTACACAATTGACGAAGCAAATGACCTTTACAAACATTACATAGACAACGACATGCCTGGCACCCTTGCGCAGTTGCTGGCGAAGGAGAGTGTGTTTTGCCATAAATCATGAGGCAGTGCACCCCCATGGGGTCGAAATCACTGCTGGCTCTTCCTGAAACGGGCCTCTACAAGATCAAAAAGATTGTCTTTGGTCATTATCCACAGCACTGGTCAAAGCCACAAGACTTCGAGCCAGTGTGGGGGCGCTGCATGAGGGCTATCGAGCAGTGCTGCAGAAGGCTTAGGAGAAAGCCCAGTTGGACATAACTCTCTCCAGGGCATACCGCCACTCATCATGTCACATGTTGCGCATCACCCTGCACTTAGCGGTGATGTTATGCATATAAATACTATGACACGTACTCTGAAATCACACATGATGTCTCTACGCATGCACTGGGGTGACTGGAACTAGACTTACTGTCTTCGTAGGACTCTGCAGTTTAGCTCAGACTTGCTCTCTGTGGTCACCTGACCTTTTTTTTAAATATCTTTCTCCGAACCTAACTTCATTCTTCCTGATGTTACTAAATTTAGTCCTACAATGTGAAGGCACGTCCTTTAGTAATCATAAAGCGAAACATTTAGCTGCAATAGGGTAACAACCACTAAATTTTCTAAACATAGAGAGAGTTAAAGATGGAACTATGGCCAATCACAATCCTTGTATTATAGCTGCACACTTACACATATATTCTACGTTTGTACAGATTTTACAAGCTCTAAAGCAAACCCTGAGCCATGGTAAGTAAAGAGGTAAGAAGAAGAAAGAAAGAAAGAGCCAGGTAAACATATGTGAATATTAACAGTACTGCTTAGCGTCAGACCCATGGGAATTTCAATACCCAGTAGGACCACCTTCGTCTTCTATGACTTTTGGGATCACTTTGCGAATGTGTCTGATGTATCTGGCACACTTTTGAATGCTCACACTTTCCCAAAATGTTGTTATGCCCCTCACAAGTTCATCCTTTGTCGTTGGCTTTATTTCACAGCGTAGAAATTCTTTCAGCTCGTGCCATAAGTTTTCAATGGGATTTAGATCTGGGCTTTCGGGTGGGGTTTTCCACCAGTTCACTCCCTCCGATTCAAAAAACTGGGCTGCATGTCGAGAGGTGTGTTTGGGATCATTATCCTGCATGAGCGGTGTCCATCAGGATAGACTTCATGCAGGAATGGCAGGAGAGTCTCGCTCAGGATGGTAACATAGGACTCGGCATTCATGATTCCATCAAAGATGCGGATCCCAGTTCTTCCACGCATGCTAATGCCTGCCCAGACATGGACCTTCACTGGGTGCTTTGGCCTGTACAAATGAGAGGGCTGATTAGTTCTGCCCAGGCAATTGATTAACCGCAAAAATTTATTTTTAGGTAATGCTGTATAATGTGTATTGTGCAATACAAGAGCGATAATTAACCGCAAAAAATTTCTAGCTAGATAATGCTGTATAATGTGTATTGTGGCAATGGCTTACTCGGGCTTGGGGCGCGGGGGCGCGCCGCGCCGGCGGTAGCAAAACCGTCGGTGAGTCTCGAGCTGAATACTGGTCTCGTCCGTGTAGATCAGTGACGTTCAAGAAGCCATTTGCAGCTTCGTGTAAATGCTGCGTCGCCCATTCTAGACACTTAGCCTTGTTTACGTGACGAATCATCTGGCAGTACGCCGAACCGCGGAACGTTCACCCGAGGGCCGATCGGCTGCGGAGGATCGTGGACTTGGATACCTGTATTCCCTGCCGCCGTAGAATTGCCTCCAGTTGCGTGGCTGTGGTTTAGTCGTCAATTCTCATCTGCGCATCCACTGCAGCCCTGATAGCCGGAGTTAGCTTAGGTAGCCGTCCATTTCCGGGGGATCTCTTGAGGCTGCCAGTGCGCTGAACTCGCTTTATCATTTTGGCAATTCCTTGCCTGGTGGCAGCCTCCCCCTCAGCGGCCAAAGCGTCGACGATGGCGGAGGATGTCAGCCCACGTCCATGAAAGTAGAGCGCGTGACATTTAACGTACTTGGAGTATGGTATTGTTGTGTTCTGCTCCTCTATTGCGTATAATTATTATATATATAGTAACGGAGCGGAATGGAACAGAACGGAACGGTAAAACTAAACGGAGACTGAACGGAAACTAAACGGAACGATAGTAAATGGTAAACAGAAAGAAACGGAACGTTATTGGAAACTTTTTTTTACTCCTACTGTATGTTTCTGTTTTCAGTAACAATTTTTTAAATTAGCCTTTATATACTGCCACATTCCTTTTAACTCAACCCCTATCATCCAGATATATTTTGCCTGATGTTGCACCAGGCAAAAGCACCATATTTCAAGCACTTGGTTCGTAGTTGCATGTTCGGCAAATATCAACAATAGAGTAAGGCAAAAATCCTATTGAGTCTGAATAGCACTCTTTTTTTGTCCCAAGTTGTGAAGCACTCTGCCCTACATTGGAGGTATATACTGGGAACAGAGGAACAGAAGGCTGTCTAAAGCCCTCTTGATTCTAAAAGCTGGGCCATTGAGTACTCATACTGCACATGCATGCTTTGAAACATGCACAAAGTCTGTACGTGAAAACTTTTAGGCAAGGATTATACATTCTTATTCTTGCACAAGAGCTATAAACAGTCTCCAAACTAAATTTAAAAATATTCTACAAAGTGAGGGTGTATATTTCGGCATCACTTTGGTGAAAAAAGGCCTTCACTTTCGAAAGTGCCAGAAATATTCCGGATTTTAACTAAACTTTTTAAGTGGCCCTTGCGAAATCTTCCTGCATATGTAGGAAAATCAGAGGGTGGTGCAGCAAAGTTTCCTACAATTTTTTGAATATTTCCTACACGTGCAAGGAATTTTCCTGCAAATTCCACAAAGTGACCCCGATTTGACAATATGTCCTGCGCTTGGCCTATATATAATAATAGGACTTCTTATTTTGTTTGGGGCACGTTTATAAGCAAACTTTCAAGTCATGGGTTAGCTCTTTGGACATGTTTTTGCTAGCGCACCGAGGATTAACAAGGGATAAAGAGAGACATTAACTGGACAAGGCTGATAATCATTTAACCCATCCTACATCTACATTTTTGTAGGGAGGGCTCAAAGCACCAAAAAGTACAGCAAAAATGGGTTGTAAAACAGCAAAGACTCACAAAACTGCACAATCTCTAGAAAACTTATATAAAGTTTTGTTTGTCTTTCCTTTCAATTCTGTTAGCCTTTCCTATATCCGACTGAATTTTGAACAGCTCTGAATACAGACGCTACTATGATCATTATGATGTAGACGGATATGAAAAACAATAATTTGGAGAGAAGTTAACAATGAACGGCATTTTTGTCTAACTTGCTAGTTTCCAATGTCGTATCAGAATTTTACATGTGTAGGTTTTAGAGAGGCAAGAACTGCTGCAAGTTGTAGTAAACTAAAACCCCAGACTAGACTAGCAGTATGCTTGAACTCTCAGCCCAGCTCAGGAGTAAGGCACTGTCATGAAATTTGCACAAGTTCAATGCCTGCCAGTAAAACAGAGTGGCAAGAGCGTAGAGTCTATTCACATCCACCTGAGCCATGGAAGTGGTTGTGTAAACTGTTTATACAGGTACCATGTACTGTACTTATACTTTTGTTATGAGACATACTGCTAGCTTTTGTCTGAAAATGTTTAGAATGCAGTGAAGCATATCATCAGAACAGGAGTGTTGCTAGGATTCCAATGGCGTTATGGTACAATTGGATGTAGTTATGACAAATTTTCGAGGGTTCAGGTTAAGTCAAATAGACTTTAGATGATGCCCTGTTGGTGACCTCTTAACTATATGTTGTCAGTGAATTTTTGTGGATCACAAGCTCAATCTGAACTATGGTTGCATGACCTCGCCTTGTGGCACTTGCACAGAGCTGCCAAAAATACCTACATTCACCTTGTAATTATAGGAAGTGGTTTGTTGTAATTAATGGCACAGGAAAACAGAAAGAAACCTACAATCCTATTGTGAACGAAGATGAAACAGTGATCGTCATGGTAAGCACACTCCTACAGTTCCACTACATATCACGACCTTTGCACTCTGCTGAAAGGGAACACAATGTATAGACCAATCTCATTTCCCTCAAGTGTTTAGTAGCTTCTGCATGAACTCCCTCACAAATCATTTACACTACCTTCTTCTCCATCTCTGTCACTGTCATCGTCACTGGCAGTGGTCTCCAGTTCCTGTTTCAATCTCTCAATCTCCCTCCTCCTGCCCCCTTATCCTCCTCTCCAGATACTCTCCTCCTCCCCTCATCCTCACACTCCTCTAACTGTGACTGGAAGAGACTCTTCAAACCCTACACGAGATGAGAGGATAATCATAATCAAAGAAGGTGGCACAGTGATTTGTGTACATAACATTAGATCCTCCATCACAGACTTTGACAACGTGGAGATTATCCACGTGAAAAAAGGATAAGGAGTACTATAGAGCAGGTTGAAGGGTTTAGTCAACAAGAGCTGGAGTATCAACTCCTGCATAGATTGTTGCAGTATACACAACGAGCGAAATATCACATCATGATGTTATGCAATAGTTCGTAAAGCAGTTCCGTGAACTCTGTGTGTCCACAAATGAAAACAGGCTTTTCTGTGCACGCACTGGACAATGATGAGTCAGCACAACCAAGAAATTGCTCAATAGTCACCACACCCTTTTCCTCTCCAGAGGGCGGGGTCTGGGTACGAGACTAGTGCATGTTCAGAATTCTTGCTGCATGTGCATGCAGGAATTATCACTCTTAATCTTGAATGAACAACTTTGTTCCCAACATCAGATTCAGATGTGTGCATCAGTGTCAAAATGATTGTGTATAGGAAGGAGGGAAAACCTAAGCACAAAACTACATACCTCTCTTCTGGAAACCTCAGCAGAAATATCATCAATCATCTCCTACAATGATAGGCGAGGAATAACACAGGTCAGAAAGTTTAACAATATAATAGCACTAAGCATTAATGGTGAGAGAGAGTCATAGAGTGAGGTACACGTAGTCCTAGCAACAAGGAGAACTATATGTAGTAGTTCTTTGGTCCAAAGTCACACTGTAGACGTGTACTTTTTGTTATTTTATAGCTCTCAAATGCATACCTCACTTAATTTTCTGCACATGTAAGTACATGCATGCTTGTAGGCGTGGTTGTGAATGAATGCTATTACTATGCATGAGTAGGAAGAATTCAAAGCACTGAAGTGCAAACCCTCAGTGCCAGCTCACATGTTTTGATGTGAACAATACTCATGCACATTAATTAAGCACCGCGCTAACTGATGTGTCCTCTGGAGGCCATGGCACATGGTCTAACCTGTCAACAAGTTTCTTGCTCAAAAACAGAGACTAGCTGAATCAGTTGATAGCCTTTAGAGTAATGGATACACATCCCCTGAGTAACATCATCCTTACAAATCCTGGTAAAGGTAAAGCCAGTGCTGATATGCAACTGCTTTCACTTGTCATTTCAGGAATAACTTTCATGCCCTCATATGTAGCTCTAAAGCTGCTAGTACCACTCATATTGCACCTCGTAGCCTGTAGTGCCGGAATAAGTGTAGGAAGACACACAGACAGACAAACAAATACAACCAAGTACTGTGCATACTGCATAATAATCTCTTGACCATGAATTCCCATAGTTAATTCTTATCCTGCTTGTGGCATACCTTAACTTTGTTCTGTCTCCTTAGTTTCTTTGAAACCTGTGGTACAAAACAGAGTATTAAAAACTACATTATAGACCCAATTACACACTGTACAACAGACGTTAGCACAAAACTGTTTGTGTTTGAATGTCAGCTATGTTAAGTGACTGCCATAGTAAGAGGTCAATAATAAACAATATGCCAGTTCCTACTCAACACTATTCACCTCATCACACTCTCTCATCTCCTTCTCCAGTTCTCTCCTCTTCTCCTCATCTTCACACTTCTTCAGCTCTGACTGTGAGAAGATAAAAACTTAAGCCTTGTTTACAAAGTACTGGTAGGGGCTGTGGTGTGTGCCGTAGAGTTGTGTAGTTTTGTGTAACGTAAACAGTGAGTCAAGTTCACAATGTTACCGACAGACAGGAATAAAAACTCCGCCTATTACCAGTGCTAGCGGAATGTTGAGTTCTGCGTATTTTCATTCACAAAGTTCAGATAGCAGGTTACTCCTACATATTTTAATCAAACTACCTACAGACAAACCACAACAGTACATTATGCATTGACACTTCAAGTGTGTATAACACTACAGCCATGGTAGCGTGCAGCAATTGTGAGAACAGCCATAGATCCAGGAGCAGGACATCAATGAAAAACATGTACGTAGTAGCTAAACTGTCGACTTCACTCACCCATAGCAGAGGGACAGGAGGTCAAAGGACGAGATGCTCACACTAAAATCGTAGCTAGTTGTGGTCTACTATAGCATGGCCTGATAGAGGTACTACACAAACGAATGTCTTATCGGGATACTGGTGTGCTGGTGTCTGAGGTCCT